TCCAGTCAGTCCCACCGGAAACTTGAGGAGACAATGTGAAACATGTCTCAGAGTACCACCAGTAGGGCAAGGAAGCTGGAATTATTATCTTCCAATTCCCATCCATCACTGGCTGATGGCTGGCTCCCAGGGCATTCTCCTCCTAGCACTTCCACTCTGCCCTGTGTGCAGGCGAGAAAATCCAAGGCAGAGTCACAGGTGCTTGCAGGACACTTCATGCATGGTCAAGTGTCTGCTGTAAAGTCTCAATATCAGTAAGACTCACATACCAAATAACTTAAATTTCATTTCTGTCACTGTCCCATTACAAAGAAGCAGTGCATTTTAATGATGCAAGCAATAGAACAGAATTCTGAGGTCTAAAAGTAAACCTCCCAGCAAAGAAAAGAGAAATCTGCAGAGTCCTTAGGAGAATTTTAATCTACCAAAAGAAATCTGTTTTTGCCTCAGTTAATCTAGATAGACATTTCCATGAATGATTCCCACTTTAAAAGTTGCAAAATTCATTATTATTTGAATTCAACAGCCAGCACAAAAAATAAAATACAGAATAATACAGTATAGTATTTGTAACACAAACGACTGAGAATTAGAAGAGTTGAATTCTTGTTCTAGCTGATACTAACTAGCCATGTAAATTTAGATAACTCATTTGTATGGGCCTTAGGTTCTCTAGCAGTAAATAGAATGATGTCTGGCCTACTTATTGTTGCTAGTAAGAGGGAAAAAAAGTTATGAAATGTATTTTAAAAATTAAAAGTACAATATATTAAATAATAAGGTATTTGTATTATTGTCGTAAAAAGGCCCTTAAGAGTCATATTATTTAATTCTAACTCATGTTAACAAAACAATAAATTCTGCTCTTGAAAAAAGCAGTGAATTGTTCCAGCAAATCAGCAGTAACTCACTGGCAAAGATGAAAATGGATTCCGTGCAATGCTTCTAGCTCTCCATAGTGCCTTTCTACTTGAGAGCTGGCTGGACATGTCATTGGGCAAGCAGCTAAAACACATTTTAATTAACTGATTTAAAAACTCTGCAACACTTTAAATAACAGTAAACACCAGAAGATATTGCAAAATATTAGTTAAGAATCATGGGCCAATGGTTTCAAATTTACCAGATCACTCACTCACATTACCATTTATTTCATTTAACATCACAAAGAATCTACGAAGTGCTAAATTCTATTGTCTTTTAAAAGTAGGAAGGAAGCTGGATTAAAAACTGAAAATGAAAAAAGCCCATTTAAAAAGGGCTTCCAATTAAAAAGTTTATGTTTTCCAATCCTTTAGAAAACATTTCATATGAAGATTGCCTTTTGTTCTTCTTTTAAAATTCAGTTCATCGAAATTAAAGAAACACTAACAAAATGCCTATTATGTGCTAGATTCAAATGGATAAATTTTAAATAGGAAAAAAAACTTAGAAAAAGAATTCCATTTATAAAATTAAGTTAAAAATACTTTTATTAAATCTAGTTCAACAGTCTAAATATTTAATTTTAAAAATTCACAAAACTCTTGTCATTCATATATCATTCTAGTGTTTTTAGTTTTCATCTTTTTAATACTCTTTACTTAAATGTATATAACATCACATTCAGTAACTAATTCAGAGAATATCATGGTCAGAAAAATTAAAATATTTTCCAAAAGTTTACATTGGCAGATTTAAAGACCAGAATTCATGTCTTGTTCATAGTCAAATACACTTGGCCTTCAATAGCTTCTCAATCAATAATGGTATTTATATTCTCTTTGGTTTCATTATCAGGATGACAGAAAAAAAAATACCACTACATCTAGTAAAGTTACAAACCTCACTTTACAGTATAAAATATGCATTTGAACATAATTTACAATTTATATGAAAAATCAATTGTATTACATTATGGCTTTAAAAATCAGAACTGTTTTTTAAATTTTTTTCCATGATTTTTATAGGGTGATTGGCCAAAACTTTGCATTAGAATTACACAAATACACATACAGAGTAAATGTAATACATCCTGGGTACAAATCACTGTGGGATCACTGTAGGATCACTGTAGAACCCTTGAATAAATGACATATCTAAAAGCCTGAAGTTCTTCACATATTACCCAACAAGCAGAAAATATCAATGAACTTGTGATAGGCAAATAAACCCATCCACAACAGTGACTTTTAAAAAGAAGTCCCAGTTACGAGCATTAGTTGAGGGTAATTTTACCACATGTGTAGCATGGTCAATGAAGACACGGTGACATGCCACTCAGTTCTATTTACAGGGTAGGAGAAAAGGAAGAGCGCAAAAAAAGCTTATCGGCCAGCTGCTCCAGGTTCCCCTTCAGCCATTTTGACATTAATGGGTATAAAAAAGTGCAAGCTCTCTCAATACTCTTTTCTGCTCCTGATATAGCTCTGTTTTAGATTTAAGAAACATCTCTGTTTAAGAAAACTAAGTCACTTATTCAAAGACCAATTTAAATTTATTCCAGTAAAAGGGAGAACTTTAGCTTATATTTAAATATTTTAACTGAAACCAAAAAAAAAAAGTATATTAGTTATTCTAAGGGTCCAGTGTTCCATCAATAACAATTAAATAACAATCATCTTACCAATTTATAATGTGTTGAAAGTTAGTGTTAAATGATCAAAATAAATTTTTACTTAAAAATGACTGCCCTTAAGAGTTTTACATAAATGAAATCAGTTTCATGTTACTTGTACTAATTTCATTAGCTTTTTTTCAGCTTGGTGACCCATAATTTTAGATCTATACCAAATAATGCTGATGTGGTTAGTACCGGGATCCTACTTACAAACCCCGATCAAGCTTTGAATGATTTTAAAGACCCGATTTTCACTTAGAACATTAAGTGTGAAACCAGAAACTTCTATTTCTTACAATTAATTTTTCCACCTGGAACAAAGAATTTGATTCCTTCTTACAAATGGCAGTCAAATACTTGAAGAAAACTCCCTCTTGAAACTTATCTGCTCCAAAATAAATATCACCAATTTCTTTAATTGCATCCCACTTTCTATAGTATTCATGCCTTTCAGCATTCCAAAAGTTGCCTCCCTATCAACTCTATAATTCATCTATAGTTCATGATGACGCCCTTAATATGTGGCACTTACAATTTAACACCATGATATCAAAGTTTTACTCTGAATATCGGAATGCATGTGGTTAACTACATCTCCTAATCAGTAATAGTTTTATAACTACATTATGTCTTTCAGCAACTATATATCACAGCACTTCCCAACTGTCATGTCAGTCTATGGACTGATACCACTCCTTGATGAAGTTTTCAGTGATCTAGAGTAAATGAGAAAAGAACAGTGTAGTAATTTTTCCATCAACTTAAAAATATTCATGTTAAATAATGCTTATTATTCTGAGCTTATGTCATTCCTCAATACTTAGGGGGGAGGTAGCAGTAAATGGAGTGATAGTGATGGAAGATGGTAGTTATTTTCCCAAAAGTCTTTACATGGCAAAATAAAGTCTCACATTTCACAATCTCTCTTAATGTCCTAAAATACTCAGGTAGAAAGGTTCATCTGATCCATTCTCCACCTCTATCTAGGTAGCCAAGCGCCTAGAATAATTTATGTAATTTGCAACAACCAATCACAACCTCCACTCATCACTCTTAATTTATGGCAGCAAAGCAAACCTTTCAATGAGCTCTAGCAAATAAAAGGTCCTCAAAGTGCTTTAACACAAGTTTCTAAGAGTCCCTAGTTTCTGTTACCTACTTTCCACTTACCTTTATAATCCTAAATAACACTCAAACCTAGCAACTAGACCACATCAAACTGACAGAGGGTTGGGATGATACAACCACTCATTGCAGTTTAAATCACTAGCTAAGAATTTGAACTACAAGTGAACTACACCATCTAAGACAGGAGACAGGCAGGAAACTGCCGCCCACAGACCAAATCCAGCTCAATGTCTTTTTGTGTTTGAGTGAAAACACAGCCACATTCACCCATTTATAAATTGTCTACGGCTGCTTTTGTGCTACAATAGCAATGGTAGATAGTTGAAAAAGAGATGGTTTCATGTGCAAAACCCAAAATATTTACTATGTGGCCCTTTACCCAAAACATTTGCCAACCTCTAATCTAGGGTAATGAAATATTTGCTACCAAAGAAAAATTTGAGAACCATTACCTAATTAAGAATGCCTGCCATCCATATTGGAATATCTAAATATAAAAAGTAGAATACCAAACAGTCCTTTATTCCACTCTGTATGGAGATTTGCTGCCCCCCCAGGACCAAGCATTTACTTACCTGCTCACTGAGCTAATCTTTAACATACATTTCTCTAGGACTTACTAATGGAACAGTGAAGAATCCATGAATATATTGACCTGTGTAATCTAAAGTTTAAAGAAAGTTGCTGCAAATAACTCAAAGTACAAAAAAAGAAGAAATTGTATAGAACTACATAATTTCCTTTACATTTTGGATTTCAAATAGAAAACACTTTTAAAGGCACTTAAAGTAGGAAAGCTTAAGTTCAACAATTTAGGTAATATTAATCACATTAAATAATGCAAATTAATTTCCCCCTTGTATTAAAAAAAACCTCTTTTTCCATAACAACTCTTCATATATGTAGAGTGAAATCAGAAGATAATACTTCTAATCTAATTCAATCTTGTGGCTTTTTAACATAACTGATACCAGAATCTCTAAAGAATAAAGTCACAACATTAAAGTACTTTGAAACTAGAAAGTGCTTAAGCGATCACCTCTACATTTTACAGATGAGAAAAGTTTCAATACAACATGAAATATTTATGGTGAGAGAATTAATTCGTGGCAGAGACAGAACTAGAAGCCAACATTTAACTATCAGTTTGGAACTCTTTCTAACTTAATGACTGAGTATAAAAGATGCTAATATTCTAAGAAAGGGTAGAGTGATGTTGAAATATTCTAGAATTTAAATGTACAGTAAACATACTTATAAGGCTACTGCCCACTCAACCTAAGCAACCCGCTTGTGTTTTATTAATCAACCAACTATAAAATAACAGAAGGCAAAAAAAGAATTCATTGTAAAACCACTCATTAATTAGAATGATCAAAAGAAAAAACAAATATTTGCTTAACAAACTGTCAAAAGATTAGAAAAAATAATAATCAATAGTGGAGAAGGAGCAGTAGGATGAATATTCATATATTGCTAATTTGGCACAAAGTTTCTGAAGGGTAATTTGGCCATATTTTAAAGAGCCTAAAAAGTTCTCAGCATCTATACCAATTATTCCATTCCCATGAATATATCCTAAAAACCTAGTTTAACATAGAGTTCAAATTTCACATACAAAGATGTCCATCCCACTAATTATTTATAATTGTGAAATATCAGAATCAATCTAATATCCAAAGAAAGAACGGGTTCAATTATGGTATATTCATACAACAGAATATTAGGCAGCCATTTTTAAAAATCACATTTTCAAAGACATAGGGAAGTTGTGATGTTAAGTTACAAAAAGTAGAATATACAACTATATGGCCAGTATAATCTCAATACTGTGATTATGCATACACACAAACACATATACACACTCATACATATAAATAGCATAGACAAAGACTGAAAGGAAATACAAAAAGTATTAACAGTGTTATCTCTGGATAGTGAGATTGCAGATAATTTTTCTCTTCTTTATACTTTTCAGTATTTTCTAAATTTTCCATAACAATCATGTATTAGTTTTATACTCATAAAACATTAAAAATTCACTCCATAGTCAATTTTAAAATTTTTATAGTCTCTATAATAAATAAGGAATAAATATTTATAGCACTCAAAAGTATATCTAACTGATGGGAAATAAATTAGTAATACATAAGAGTATAATTTCCACACATGTATAGGTAGGTAATTTTGAATCCAAAAGATAGCATTTTATCTCAATCCTTGAGTATAAAAAGTTGGTATTAAATAATAATGTAAATCTTTAAATAAAATTGGTGCAAGGCATCTAAAAATTGTGCTATTCTGGCATAACACTGAAGATATAAACACTCTCCAATGTAATGTAGATACCCAGTGTTAGATTAAAATGAATATTATCTAGTACATGCGTGGTGGCCAATAATTAACTAATTAAATTACATATTTTCCCAAAGTGACTAGAATTGGTCTACGCTAAAGAAAGAAATACAACACCATACCATTATTTTAGTTGGAAGAGCCGCACCAAAAATCATGACAAAAAAAAATTGTAGAACTATAAGAAAATCCAGTGGCTTTTTGTTGTTATTATTAATGATTTCTTGCTAAAAATTCAAGTAAGAGAGTCAAATTGCTTAAAGCACTGAAAAAAGCATAGCAGCAGTGTATGGTCTGCAATGATTTGAAAATCTCTAAGAACAATATTCAGTGTTTCCTCATTTGCAGACTACTGCCTATCAAACACTATCTTTGAAGTAAAGAACTACAACTATGTTCTTTTACCGATCTTGAATATACAATATAATAATGACACAAAGTGATGTCACAAACAAAAAGGCAAACTGTATGTAATTTTAAAAGCTAACTTTTAAATATGATTCTAATGTCTGTGATAAAAAAATCACATAAATATGCAAATTATAAAATACATCCTAACATGTTTTTATATAAGAGCTGAAGTTTACCACTTTTAACATAAAAATTCTGAGATGGAATTAATAAAAAACAATTTTCATATATACCACAGAGCAATAAGTTTAAATCAGACTATTTTTGAGTTGTGTAGCCCTTTATTAGCAACTAAAATAGAAGGTATCTGTTGTACAACATGGGTAGTAATTGACTATAACTGGAGATTTATTATATTCTAATACAGATCATTTATAAATGCAATTTCTTTATTAAAAAGCTTCCACCTTTTTTGTTTTGTTTGTGTACAATTTGCAAAACTATTCTGAAAGCGGAATATATGTGCACAAGTCTGCAAAGAGTGCAAATTTAGGATATGGTAAATGCTTTACAAGTTACTTTCAAAAACTGTCTGCCATAACTGAGCCTTTACATTGCCATCTTTTTTGATCAAAATATTTGATGCCAGCCTTCCTTCCACTGCCCTAAACTATAAAGCATTTTTTAACGAGTTGAAATTAAGGAAGGACTACACCTACTAGAAAAGAAGAGAAGAAAGTTCTATTAGTTTGAGGTTTCAGAATCCCCCCAAACCAGGACCAGTATCTTGGTAAGGGCTAGGCTGGGACCCCGAACAGAGTATGAGTATGTGCAGGTGGCATCCCTGAGGAGTCAGAGCTTCAGTGGACCGTGAGTGCTCCAGCTGCATAACTCACTGAACTGTCTTGCCAGTTTCTACACTGGCTTGACTGGGCATAATTCAAAAAGGAAAAGCTCATATTCATTCCATTCTTCTGGAGCTCTGTGATAGCCTAGAAAAAGAAAAAGTTGGTTATGACAGACATGTAAAAAAAAATGAGCACTCTTTGAATGTGTTGGTGGCTTAACTTTGTCTACTTTATAGCTGAAGCCTAGATCTCTCTTTCTCTCTTCTCATCACTTGTTTCTTGACTTTCTCGTCACCTCATGCTAAACAGGAATAAGAGAGAATGTCTTATTTCATTCTCTCAAAGAACTTCTCCTAATATAGCTTCTGAATAAATATCAGTCATCTTCCACCGCAACTTCTCTCTATATTTTAATATGGCCACTTTAAAAAACAAACAAAAACCCACAGTATCTTTCTCTCTATTCTGTAAACTAAATCTTAGCTACTTATACTATCTTGAAATGCTGGAGTCTTTGTCTGACTTTTACTAAATCTGAAATGACATAAATTAGGTTCCAGATCTAAGAGGTATATCAGGATTTTTACTTTGTGTATTGGTTCATCATTTATTTTATTAAAATTTTATTTGATCCAATTCAGATGTTAGGAAATAAGTATAGCTTAAGCCCTTTACAGGCTTTTCTTCCAGATAATCAATACTGCTGAAAAGAAAACCCTTCCAAAATATCCACAATGTATTGTCTTTCAAGTCACATTAAATTAACACTGGTCTTCAAGTACCTACCCTAGAACTATTCTAGACTATATTACCTTCTCCATTATTTCTCTGCCTTTCCTAACAATGACCCCATAATTACTTCCTCCTCCTATTCCTGAGCATACACTTTTTTCTTCCTTAAAAGAGTCTTACATTATCTTTCAGAAAATCCATACTTTTTTATTTATTGGAGAAAAAAAATGTTCTCTTTTGAAAATATAGCTAACCAAAATTTCTGTCTCTTACCATTCTTTAAATGAAATACTGTTTTTCTTGTAAAGAGAAAAACATATAAGTATCATCCGTCTTGCTTTAGTAACTTATAAATATCTAAAGTTCAAGAGCAATATCTTCAATTTGTTTTTCATATAGACTAGACACTAAATAAAACCAAGAAACTAATGAGAACATATCTCCTGAAAGACTCCTTTGGTTTATATTTATAAAGAACATATTGGAATTGGCTGAGAATCTAGAGAAAAAGGGGTTTCTATTCTAAATAACTTTCTGTATTTAAAAGAATGTATTGGCCTATCTTCCAGTGATAAATAACTTTATTCAAACAACCAAAACAATGGAAATAGAAATTTTCTTAAAGGTACTAGAAAGAAAACTGATTATATGTACTTAAAACCAAAGCTAATAAGGTATCATAGATGATAACAATTAAAATATTTTGAAACATCATAGGATCAAATGTTAAAAAATCAAGGCTTCTTAGTGATACTCACATTTAATAACACCCCAATGGGATGTCTTCCACATATAGTATTATGGTATTTCTTCAAGTAATTGCTAAAAGATACAGGGTCTAATTGTTCTATAATACTCATACCCTAAAAAAAGAGAGAGAGAGAGAAAGAAAATGAAAAAGAAAAAAAGAACACTATTATTTACTAGTTTCATTTCAAAACTATTACTCAGAGCTTATTATTAATTTTTCAATTAAAGAAAAGTAAATACATTTAATAAAACTTGTGAAATACCAAACTCATTCATCGATTAGTCAACACTAATACATAACACTTATTAACAGAAAACTTTTAATCCTCAGTTTAGTTTTCTCTGACCTTCTGGTGTTTCTACACCATTTTCACAATCCTCCAACATTTCACAATTGTATATTTTTCTTATATAAAATATTTACAAAAGTAAATCTGTTGTGAAATTTTTCATATAAAATCCAAAATTAAATTTGATATAGTCTGTTTTTCCCCATATCCATTATTTCTCCTACCACTGGCATAAATAATCAAAAGTTGATTGTAATTTACCTATTTCCATAACAATACTTAAATATCAAGAGTATACAAGGCATTTCAAATTATCAGGAATTATCTAGGTAGCTGATTTAAAAGATACTACAAACTAAGAATATAATTTACATATTTTTAATTAATTTAAAACCCACAAAAGATTAATAAAGCTTAAGCAAAATAGGTCTTTTATGAACAAGTTAAAAAAAAAAAAGAAAATCTTTTTATCTTTTTAAAACTTTAAACGAGAATGCTTTATTTTCAAGACTTAAGTTCAGAATCAAAGTTTTTAGGCTACAATTAAAACCACCACTATGACTTGGACACTTGTTCACACTAAGTTCATATTCTGCAAATGCATTCAAATAATGTGTTGATAACACATTACTATAGAGCAACTTTAACTCATCTGAATCAGGCAAATAAATGAATGATTCTAACTCAATTCATTCAGCAATTACCTTACCTTGTTTTCTTATTCTGGTAAAATACTTTACATTTGTATTCAATAAACTGGATTAATATCCTCTGGGAGAAATGTAAATGGTAGTTTAACTAGGAAGTTAACTGATATATTTTGTGTGGTTTTTTAAAATTATATTTCAACATGTTTTAATAAAACAAGCATAGCTTAAAAGCACCTAATCAGATAAATTCATTTGAAAAATGATAGTAATCAGTGGGTGACATACAAATACTACAGTGGCAACATCAAAATTTAATTAATAAAGAAAGTTTTTCAAAAAATTCAGGTCCTTCATAAACATGACCACATTTTTCTACAAATATATCTGAAAGACAGGCGTATGCATGTATAATCAAGTTTCAATTACTTGCACATCAATCAGCCACTCTTCAGACTTATCCACAACCAGTATTTAATGCTAAGTTGGTTTTCCCCTGCCAACTAGGAGGCTTCCAGGTCAGCAGTCTCCACTGACATTTGGTGCAAGCTCAGAGAAATGAGAACTAACTTAAAAGTTAAACCTAAGATAAATCTGTATCACAATTCTGGTACAAAGAAAATCACACAATATATTTCTATACTAAGTAGTAATTTAGAGATGAAGTAACAAATCTCTTCCATAAATACAGATAATCAAGATATAATTACCTGAAGATGAAAAAACTGAGGCATAAAAAGGATTTAAAGCTTGCCTCTAAATTTCTAATCCTAGGATCGTTCTCATTGCCTACACTGCTTCATATAGCATAACAAAAGACATACTAACAATTCTTAGAATAATCTCACATGGCTATCATAGGTATACATATTGTAAAAGAACTTTGAATGCTCCTGGATGAAGTCTAAAACAGCTTACCTTAAATAGAATTCTACTCATTAATAAGTTACGTTAACACTGAGGTTCCAATATATGTCCTAATGTTTAAATCTCAAAGCACATTTTTTCACAAACGTATCATATTTATATATTGAATTCAAAGAGAACGAAGCTAATCATCACACTTCAGAAGACTAAGAATTCAAAGTAACTGGCCAAGAAATTTCATATAGAAAGACATAAAATTTTAAGTGTAGAAAAAACGCTACTAAATAAAATGTTCAAAATTAAGATTTAATGGTTAAATTACAACAGGGAAATTTTTAAATTGAGATGATGGAAGCTAAAGGATTAAATTTAAAATTTTACTTCTCTTAACTGTGTTTTGTACCTACTAGGGCAAGAATTAATTTCATTACACTCAATTCTTTGACAAATATGATAGTCAAGAAGTATGCCTTTTCATAGAAGAGAGACAGAGAGAAAAAAAGGCTTTTCTCATGAGTAAACTTCTAGAATCAGAAAATTCATGAAGTACACAAACAATAGCAATAATGATAATAAAACAAGACATCCATTAACTAATACAGAACACTGGCAAATACACTTTGTATATATTTTAAGTTTTGATGCTAACAATTTTGAAATTACTATTACCAAAATTCCAAGAAGATGAAAACACCAGCTTAATACTGTTGCCAAAATTTCAAGATGATGAAAATAAAATGCTTCTCAAATATGCCTAATTAACTTTTCTATTCCTTAAAATACTGGAAGATATGATTAGTGAATATAAAGTCCAGGTAATGGGAAGTTTGCCTACAGCCTAGTATATTGAATATTTATTCACATGAATTTAATCTAATATGAAGCAGTGAAGTAGGTCATAACCCATTCAGCTCTAAGATTCAAATTAGCATTTATAAACACCAAAAGTCTATGCATCATGATCTGGATTTCTGAGCAATTTAGCAGCATCAGCAAGAAAGCCTCAGTTTGAAAGCTAACTCTCTACCTTGAGGGGAACAAGAGCAGAGGGAATATATCATTGTGCTGACTCTCCAAGTAATGAATGAAAGCTTGTAATGTCAAATCCCAAGTGGCAATCCTAAACTTTTAGCTGACAGAACTGTAAATTCAACACTCTAATATAATAATAATAAAAAAAGATCTTCCCTTTTTAAAAAGTTTATCTATATGTAATATTTAATTTAAATTTTATTTAATTTTAAATACTATCACCCACAAGTAATCTCCTTCTAAAGTAACAAACACAAAAGAGTAGCAAAACTTTTTTAGAGGTCTTTAAGAAATAAGAACTAGAATGGTGTCTTTTAATTATGAGCACATAATTAACCACCATATTATGAAATCATTAGGATTCCTTTTTTTAAGTAAGGATATACTTTTATGTTAGAGATATGGGTACATATTTAGAGAAGTAAGATGAGAAAAAGAAATATTCTGGTTTCTGTAAAAGGTATCAAGATAAAACCTAACAGTAAAAGAAATTTTACGAGGAAAAAAAACACCCAAAAGATAGCAGTGCTAAGAAGCAATGTACTATCCTAAAGATAATATGTAGCTATCTTAAATAGATATCTTAAAGATGATGTTATAAAACTAAGTTCAAGAGAAAGAAGAATGAATAGATAAATAGAAATAATTTAATTATCAAAAGAGTAGGAAGAAAGGAAGTGGATGAAGTTCAAAGTAAATGAAGTAACTACTAATAAATGTGGAAGGAAAAGAAGTTATAAGGATGACTACAATGACATTTTCAGATTCTCTCTGCCAAATCATAAATAATTTGCCAATGTCCACACTGAAACATTGGTCTACATCAAAAGTGGTACAGAAAAAAGAATATTTGATCATGTAACATATATAAAATATGTATAAGAATGGTTAATGTTTCAAGTATGTGATCTAAAAAGTTAAAAATCAATGTCTTCAAATACATTCTGCTTTTGTCACTGTAATTACTGAAATTACAAAGTACTAATTACCAAAAGCCATGGTCAGTAGCTGATAACATTATGACTTTCAGACTCTGCATCTCCTATAGGTAGTTTACCTTCCCCATCCCCACAACTTCAACATCTGGAAGATCAGGATTTCCTTTTTTTTTTTTTTTCTTTCATTATATGTTTATTTCACATAATTAATTTCCAAGATATTCAAATGCTAAAGATATAAACATTTTGGAATAAGAATAGCTATTTTTATTTGGTTCTACAACCTAGAAATACTTTCATTTCTTTTCTAGCTTTTTACTAACTACATTTAATAAGACTTTTCTAATAACAAAGAAGAACCAAACTTAATTAATACACTAATTATGAACAAGTTAAACCTAAAGTTTTCTACTTAAAAATAATTTATTTTCAAAATTTATCATTATTATAATTCAGAATTGCTAACATTTTTATAATACACAGAGAACCACTGCACTGTATTTGCTCAAGAAAGATTGCATGTAGGAACTAAGATACTGGTTCTCGAATAAATGAAATTATTTATAACATAAAGTGCACTTTAGGAAAGGAAAGGAATATACAGATGGATATTCACCATTTGGTTATATAAATCAATTAAGAAAACACATTATATGAAATGAATATGCTAACAGTGAGTGTACATATATACATATATGTATAAAAACATACATACATGAATATAAAACAGAGCCAACCATTCTTATTTTAATCCATTTATTCTAACTCCTAGAATTGACTTATAACTTGAATTAACAGCATGCTAATAAAAGAACAGAACACTTATGAGCCATTTAAAAATTTTTTATACAAAGAAAAATGTTTCAATAAATGAACAACAATCAACTCTGAATATTATATCAAATATTAAAATCGAATACTTGATATTTATTCAGAAATTGTATTTCAGACTATTTAAATAAAATTTTTAAAGTTATGCTCTAGTAACTTTAGATATCTACAGTAAGGTAATTCAGATGCAGATTCAGAAGTCAGCCTAAAGCTCATTGGTTCTACTTAAACATTTTGAACAAAAATCTCTAGTTTCAAAGTCTTAGCAGCTAGCAGAAAAAGCAACACTTTCAGAAGTTATGAGATCTATGCCAATGGGTAAATGTTACTGTTTTTGCTCTGCCTCAAATTAAGAAACCAAAGTCTATCAATCTAACTGATCAGATACATCAAGAGACAAATAAAGCTAGTACTCTTAATATTAACAATCAGCAGAGAGTTAGGAGAAAGGCTAAAAGAATGAATGTTTATATATAACGCATATACAGAATAACAAAGAATATTAAAGTATTTAAATGTGACCACAATTCTAGAGTCAAAGGATGCTATTATATTCACTCACTTCAGAGTACCAGGTAAGCCAATGTTTTGGGGAAAATGTCTTCTCTGTGCTAAAAGCATCAATCACTGATTTATGGATTCTTACATTTGCCAAATTAAATGTTGCCTGATTCAAGTTCACAAATGAAAAGGGATCTCCAGGGGGAGAGTATGGGCAAGTCTATTTTGAAAAAGTTCCATGAATTATTTCAGTTGTAAAAACAGGGTTGATGATTACTACAGCAGACAACCTCATCTCTGCCCTGGCTTTAATTACCATCAATCTTCTCTCCCTAAACTACTGCCAAGGCCCATTGTTACTACTCTTGACTCTGCTGTAGGACCCACTCTCTACAACAACCAGAGTAACCTTTAAAATACTGCAAACTACGTCATCTCTCTTCCCATTGCACTTATGTAAATGTCTTGCCCTAGAAATATAAAGCCCTCCATTATCTGATCCCAGCCTACCTCTTTTATCACAGATTATACCATTTTTACCCTTATCTACAATACTCCTGTGATCCTAGCCTTTTTTCTTTCCTTCTAACACACTTACACAGGCCGTTCCTTCAGTGTAGAATGCTCTTCCTTCTGATCTTTACTTGGTTTGCTCTTCATCATTTACATCTCAGTTTAATGTTCCTCCTCCAGGAAGTCTTTCTCCAATTAGCCTCGAATTACTTACTATCTCAAACCCCTTTTTATCTTTTCTGTATAGCACACATCACTATTAGAAACTAACTTACCTACATCCTTACTTTTTTAAAACAATCTGTACCTCCCTCCTGTAAGAATAAAATTCCTGTGAGATCAAGTCTGCTTGTTTACTGCCGTATCTCCACCAGTGCCTACAGCTGTAAATGTACTCAAAAATAATTGGCAAAATGAAAATCCAAATGCCTACTTTATTGACATCTCCACTTGGATGTCATATCCCTAATAAGATTTATGGCCTTCCTACCTCCTATCTTCTTCTGCTTCAATTTAAGAGAATAACACCCCACAAGCAGCATAACCCAGATATTTAGGAGCCATCCTTGACCGCCCCCACCCCCGCAAGTATACTTGATCTCCAAGTCCTATCGTAAACGTGTCTTTCAAATATACTGAATAAATCCACTCTGTCCCTTCCTCCACCATCACCATCCACTGTCCAAATTACCACTTTTCACCTCAATTACCCAACAAGTCTACCCACGTACCCCCTTGGCCTCCTTTCAACCCACTTGCTACACTGCAGCTATATGATCTATTCAAATACAATCTGATTTTATCGCCTTCCTATTTAATATCCTTTAAACAGCCTGTTTTAGATTCTCTGGCTTCATTTCTCGCCACTCTCTCATCCATTCATCCATCAAATCATTGAACAAAGTACTAAGAAGAAAAATACAGTAAAGTCATAGAACAACTACTCGCCATAGGGACATAATGAAAAATTGTGGGCAATTTTTAAAATTAAAGATGCTATTGGTGGATTTAATGGGTGGAGTCCACTGATGCTGACTGCAATACAGGACAGTCCCACACACAAAGAACTGTTCTTATCCCATGACACTTTTACATGTTCATGTAGGTAAAAAAACTGCTTATAATTATATACATCCTAACACCATTTTACATACAAATACAAAGAAGCTTTGCATGACTTTAATACACAGATTTCCCAGGAATCTATCTTATAAAGTAAAAGAAGACTAAACACTTTGTTTGGTTTACAAGTTTACTAAGAATTGATCAACATTTTAGAAAATCAAGTCACCCAGTCACGCAACTTAGTAATGTGAGTCACAAATACAAAATAACTACATTAAGTTTGCATTTGTAGCTGCTACATTAATAATACTATGTGTACAAGCATTTAACTATTTCATTGTGTCTTCTAATAGAGTTGTGCCTGGGCATTTACATTATTAAATATATATTTATTGGTATTTATTTAACTTAATTATGTATATACGAACATTATGTTCACTAAATTGTTCATTTGAGAAGTATTTATTAAGCACCTACTTATGTTCTAATCACTATTCTAAGCACTTTGGATACATCAGTGAACAAAAAACTAAACGAACAAAATTGCAATAAATAAGTAAAATATTTAGTTTGTTACAAGAAAAAGTAGAGCAAGGTAAAGTGTACTGGGAATCCTGAAAAGGTAGAGTATATAGGATGCAAAATTAAACAGAGTGGTCAGTAGGCCTCCTTGCGAAGGTGAAAGCTGAGCAAAGCCATAAGTTAAGTGTGACAGTCAAGTGCAAAACGGGCAAAAGCCCTAGGCTAGGCACATATATGGCATCATTGAAGAATAATAAGGAAACCAGTGTGTCCACGCTGCCTAAATATTTTTTACATTTCTATATTGTAATAACTTCATTCTAAGATTGTTTGAAGATTAGACGGTATGTTCCATTAAGTCAGAGACCATGTTTTCTGCTCTTAATACTGTCAATACTTCACAGTACCAGATGCATTATAGACACCCATTAACCATTTGCTATATGAAGAAAATAGGTGATGAAAGAACCAGCAAAGTTTGCTGAGGGAACTAATAATGAAACCTCAGAAAAATAAGAGAAGCCAGAAAAGACTCAAATGACTGAAACAATGACATAATAAAGCCAAAAGAAAAGTCAGTAAATTAAAATCCAGACAAAATTCCAAAGGTAAAAGTATAAGCCATAATTGGATTTAAAGTAATAAATTTAAATAAATTAAAAAAATAAAATCTCCTAAGTAACTAAATTTGCATTCATTCTATTTGGCTTTTAATAAAATATGCTACATGATATAATCTATCTATAGTTTCAGATCCAGATTTCTTACTAAAAGATTTTATGTACTAAAATATTTTATCTACTATAAATTATATGTTCCTGTACTAAAATATACACATAAAGCTTTTCTCACAGGCAGTAAAGCTGATTTTAACAGATCACAGATGTAAGAATTAAAGATGTAGAATTTAAAGATAATTTAGAGACCAATTACTCCAAGTCTCTCGCCTTATAGATGACAAATTGAGGACTAGAGAATTGAATGATCTGTCCAAGGTCAGAGTAAGTTAGTGATATATCTGCCAAGTTTAATATTCTATTTATGAGTAAACACCAAAATGATTTATATGACTTTTTAATTAAAAGAAGTACTACTATACTACATCAAGGAAAAAATAACAGGATCAATGTCTACTGTATTCCTGGGCTAGATAAGAATAAAATCACATTTTAAAATTCTATATTTAAAATAACAAATTGAATTCCATTTAAGAAAAATCAAAATGGCCAAAAAATAAAACAAAGTAATAAATTAAAAAACTGCTCTGGTTGTCTCTACTTAACACTAAATAATGGCATCAGTTTCCTGTTGTCTCTAAAACTAACACACACTCCCAAAGAGTATCTAAAAGCTGTATCTAATTATTCTTAAGTACTCTCATTAATCAAATAAAATTAGGATGAAGGAAATTTGTACTAACAGAACAGGGATTATTTTTATAATCAATATTCATATGATTACAAACTATAT